CCGGTAGCTGCTGCATTTCCCACCCTAGGCTTATACTCGAGTCAATAACTTTTCCAGTTTTTTGTGGTAAAATTAGGTGCCTCGGCTTATATTCGGGCCGGCCTATACTCGAGTATATACGGTAATTGTTCTCACTAGCAGGAAATTTCTCCTTAATTCTAGGTTAGATCTTTCTCTTTGACAATCTTCCATCTGTTACTTCTTGTCCTCAGGTGCTTTGGAGAAAAGGTCAACCCCCTCTTCAAATATTGGAAGACTGCTGGCATTGCCACCCCTAATTCTTCTCTTTGTTAGACTAAACCCGGGATGGCTAACCTTTTTGTCGTTGCATGCTGAATGCGTGCACGGGGCACGCCCATAATGCAATGTCCGTGCCCCATGCCCTGCGTATGCATTTGTAAACCCGTCACATGTGTCTTGACCCCTAAGCATGCATACATGACCCCCCGTGATCCCCGCTCTCTCCACCATACCCGCTGCACATTCACACATGACCTCCATGTTTGCGGAGCCCCCCCTCACCCATTTTTTACTTCCAGGTTGGTGCAGGAGGCTCTCCAGGCTTAAAATGGGGAACCAAGGGGTGCGTGCCCCCCGTGCCCCGTTTTTGGGTCTGCAAGTCATTCTGAACCAACCTGGAAGCCAAAATGGGGTACGGGGGCACAGCGTAACGCCCCAAGATGCAATGTGAAGACCCGACCATACATGTGCCTCGTCACCCCGTACATGTGCACAGGCATCTCCCACATGCGCCCCGCTTCCCACATATGCATGGCAGAGACCCGAAAACTTGCTGGCCGTCAGGAGACGCATAAAAAAGGAAAGCAGGCAAGATCTGATCTGAGTTCATGCTTGAAATTTCATCTTTTGTGCCAATATGTACTGAAGCTGGATGGAGTTCCAGCAAAGAACATGCAATTCTCTAGTTTACTGTTTTGGGGCGTGTGTGTAAACATTTAGAGGGGAAAATGTTAAACCTATTTAAAATTTACACCAGGGGTCCCCAAACTTGGCAACTTTAAGACTTGTGGACTTCAACTCCCAGAATTCTCCAGCCAGCATAGTCCACGAGTCTTAAAGTTGCCAAGACCTCTTGAAGACCTCTGATTTACACTATTGAGTTTTTCTTGACTCGAATTGTCAGCGAACTATGCTAATGATTTTTGGCACCGGCAGATCAAATGTAAGTGGGTGGGTGTTGTCTACCCTTTGTTATTCTCACAAGGTTCTCTCAAAATGAAATTCAATGGTGAATAGAGTAAGGTTCTACATTTAGGCAAGAAAAACAAAATGCAGAGGTACAGGATAGGTGGTACCTTGCTCAATGTAACTGAGAATGGGACCTTGGAGTCCTAGTGAACAACCATTTAAATAGGAGCCAACAGTGTACAGCAGCTGCCAACAAAGCCAACACAGTTCTAGGCTGCATAAACAAAAGGATAGAATCAAGATCACATGAAGGGTTAATACTTTATAATGACTTGGTAAAGCCACACTTTGAATATTGCATTCAGTTTTGGTCGCCACAATGTAAAAAAGATGTGGAAACTAACTCTAGAAAGAGTGCAGAGAAGAGCAACAAAGAGGATTAGGGGACTGGAGGCTAAAACATGAAGAACAGTTGCAGGAACTGGATGTGTCTAGTTTAATGAAAAGAAGGACTAGGGGAGCCATGATAGCAGTGTTCTGATATCTCAGGGGCTGCCACAAAGAAGAGGGAGTCAAGCTATTCTCCAAAGCACCCAAGGATAGGACAAGAAGCAATGAGTGGAAACTAATCAAGGAGAGAAGCAATTTAGAACTAAGGAGAGAGTTCCTGACAGTTAGAACAATTAATCAATGGAATAACTTGCCTCCAAAAGTTGTGAATGCTCCAACACTGGAAGTTTTTAAGAATAGCAATAGCAATAGCAGTTAGACTTATATACCGCTTCATAGGACTTTCAGCCCTCTCTAAGCGGTTTACAGAGAGTCAGC